GCTTATTATACTGAGCTATCTCCCCGGCCCCTTCTTAAATTTATTTTTTTCAAAAAGTTGGAAAAGTAGTATAGACAGTCTGTATACCATTTAGCAAGTTTCCTCAGATGCTGGCATTTTACATATCTAAGGTACAATTATGAAAACTAACATTAACGTCAGTATCTGCTCAACTAAATTAGTGGCTTTATTGAAATTTTACTGATTTCTCTGTTGACATCATTTATGCCTTCCAAGACCTATTCCAAGATCCCTTTACACTTGTTTATTTTTTTCTTCAGTTTCTTCAAATATTTCCTTGAAGATTAATACCTTTGAAGAGTAATCATTGGGTATTTTATAACTTTGGGTGTGTCTGATATTTTCCCTGTGATTAGACTACAGTCATACACTGATTCCCAGGAAAGATTCCATAGAAGGGATGAGTTATTTTCCGTAGTTCCTGTCAAGAGGTACATTTGGTGGGTTGGGTTGGGTTGGTTTTGTTTTGTTTAAGACAGGGTATCACTATATAGTTGAGACCTGCCTTGAATTCACTCCATAGTCCAGGCTGGCCCAACCTCATGGCATTCCTTCTGCCTCAGTTTCCCAAGTGCTGGGATTACAGGCATGCACCTCACACCCAGCCATCATGTCTTATCATGGGCTGGGCTAACATGGACCATGTGGCCAAGGTGGTGTCTCATGGGTCACCCATTGTGAGTGCCAGCTGTTTCTCCCTTGGTCCTTAGGGCCTCCATCATAGCCATGTGGTGGTGATTTTATTTTCTTGGTTTTATTATCCAACAGTGCTATTATTCATGTTGATGCTTAAGCCTACTTTTGAAAAACACCATGCTGGTCACAGAGTAGTGCATGGCTGTAACCCAACTGCTCCAGAGCTGAGGAGGATTGAAAGTTCACAGCCTGCTTGGGCAACCTGGCAAGACTTGGTCTCAAAATAAAAAATAGGGGCTAGAGTTGTAGCTCAGCAGTAGAGCATTTACTTAGCATGTGTGAGGTTTAGGGTTCACTCCTCAGTACTACAAAATAAAAAGTGAAGAGAGGCAGGAGGAGGTAGTCCAGTGGTAGAGCATGCTGAGTTTTTGTTTTCATTTATTTATAAGGGTCTACAGGTTGTTCAGGGTCTCACTACTAGATCAGACTCATAGCTATCCAACTGTTTACAGCCTTTCAAGAGCTGCGATTAAAGGCATGCGCTACCACGCCCAGTCTCAATTGCCTTGTCAGCACACCCCAGGGATGGGACCAGCACAGCAGCCCCAGGGATGGAACCCCAGACCCTGTGCCTGCTTGCAGGTGCTTTAATCCACTGAACTATTAAAAGAAAAAAAAAGTTGTGCCTGAGACCAAATTTAAAGCACAGAAGCAGTCTATGCAAGCATCACACCCACCAGCAATAGCATTTCTTTAAATACCCCTCTGCACACTAAATGTTGATTCCTTCACTCTCCCTCAGCTTCCCCTACAATAAAAAAGAACCATCCTTCTTCACACCACCCTGCAGGGCTCATGCCCAAGGGGCCTCCAGAACTGGCTCTGTGACCATCCCTGCCCAGGTCTCTCCTTGAACTTCTGTAGGAGCTCGAGCCTCAGGACCTTTCCTCATCCAACAGCCTCTGCAGGTGGAACATTTGCTGGTGTTCAGGACTGTGTTCACTGTGGTCAGGCAGGGGAAGGAAGCAGCAGCCTCCTAGAGGAAGTCAGGTCTGAGAGGAGGCCTAGTGGATGCAAACCTTCAGCCAGTAAGGACTTTCTAACAAGGGCAGAGGCTCCAGCTGAGAGCAGGCTCAGGGCCCAGAGTGCTCTGCCATCTGAGTCACACAGAGCTCTTCTCCGCTGTTAAGACAGTGTCCAAACACAGGGACAGCACTTCCTCACCTGGATAGCCCATTTGGATACCTCTGGAATCAAAATATCCAAAGATGTGAATTTAATTCTCTTGCCAGGTGATCAATACGGAGTCAGATAAGACTCCTCCAGAGAGATGGTCTTCCAAGCAAGGAAATTGATCCCATAGCATCCTTTAGCTGGGTTCCAATTACCCTCTGTTCCTGGGTGCCAGATCAATCTCATGGTATTTTTAGAAGCCTAATTGTTTCTTTAGCCAGCTTGATGCCAATAAGATGTCCAAAACTTAGATGAGTCAAATTTAAAACCTGAGTTAAGATGGAATAGAAGCTTAACCCTGAGGGTGCCGAGGTGATATAGCATGGTTCTCCAAATTATGCCATGTAAATAAATAGAGATTTCCCTCATGGGTTTCTACTCCTTTTTGTTTATTTATTTTTTTCTTCACAATGGTCAGTTCCCACCTAAATATTCCCCTACCAGACATTTCTCTATTGAAAACATCTTCTATTAAAATCTTAAGGAACTCCAATTTCTAGGGTAAGCAAATCAATGAAATCTGTCACAACTAGATAGGATAATACCTCCCTTGGACACAGGCACATTAGAGATGGAGAGATTAATTGAGACAACAACCACCAGCATGAGGACCACTTAGTTGCTGCATGACAAAAAATAAATCTCTCTTCCTGGAAGAACTTTAACCTAAGAGAAGAAGCTGCTCAAAGGTTTATTGTTGTCAAAACCACAAACTCGACACCTCTCTTGATAAAAGACTTCGATCCCTGACCCCAGTAAAGCTGCTACTCTAAAAGCCATTTGTGTATTGATCTTCTCAGAAGAAAACAAATAGGCAGCTAGCTGGGGGAGTATCTTTGGAAACCAAGCTCCTGGCTGGAGGGGACCCCAGTACTTGGAGCTCTCTACGAGGCTGGGTTGTGTGTTCCTTTCATCTTCTCAGTGTCTGCAACAATCTCAGTTGATGCGTGTAGCGCAAGGTAGGAAGGTTTGTCTGCTGGGAAACCTAGATGTTATCCAAAAGCAGGTGGCATGGATGGTCTAGGATGGAGGCTAGTTTGAGATGAGTTCTCTGTAGTGACCCTATGATGGCAACCCCAACTCCTCCATGTCAGTCCTGTGCATAGTCCCTTGAAGAGATGAACCAGTGTTTCTTCTCTAAGGCTGAGATGGGCAAATGAAAGCAAAATCCACGCTGCACAGTAGGGATTGAGGATTTAGGATATCTGGACCAGGCAACTCCAGATTTTGAGTACATGGTACATACAGGCCATGAGAGCAAAATGGTGGTATCTTTCTTGCTGTCTTCCTTTTTTCTCAGGGGATGAAAATAAGATCAGTAGGTTTCCATACCTGGAGAAGAAAATGCCTTTCGAAGCTTGCTGTTCCCTGCTAACTCCATACAGAGTTCTTTCAGCAACAGACGCTTAAACAGTATTTACTAAGCCCTTTGCAGGCACCGTTGTAGGAACAAGATGAATCCCTGCCCTCATGAAAAGACAATAAGCAAGTAAACAATAAAGTCAGTTCAAACCAAGCTTAACACAGTAAAGAGAGATGACACTAAGGGAGCAGGTATCAGTAAAGCCTGTGAAGAGGGCTTGAGGATGGGCGATGATGGTGAGAGGGAGTGAACTCGTGGGGATAGGCCTAGATAGGCAGCAGCCTCAAGGGCAAAGGTGTGAGCTACATAGAAACATGAAGTTGACAGTGGGGCAAGATGGACACAGCTTGGTAGTGGAGAAGCCCCTGCAGGCTGTGCACTCCCTTACCTAAAAGTCTGCAGAGGGTTTGATGCTCCTGTGAGAAATAATCTGGTTCTGTTTTATAAATATCTCTATTGCTGTTAGTACCAAATCACTAGTATGAGAGCAAACAGCACAACTGCTATGAGGAAAACAGGGCAACAGTGAGTACAAAGATGTAGTACCTAATCTTGGAAGACTGAACGACCTAAGAACATTTTGAGTTCTGTTTTATAATGGTAGTCACATTTATTTCACACCTAAATTCCTCCCCACTTGCTTACTGAACATCAGAAAAATCATTTGACTAGGAAAATAAGATTTGTGCTTATCAGCATACTAAAGGTAACACCTTACTTGAGTCAGTTAGCGAGAAACAATTGGCTCTAATCAGTTGTCTCGTTTGTTCCTACAGGGATCCTAATCACCCATCAGTACCTTATCATTACTATGAACCTTTCGGGCCTGATGAGTGTACCATGTACCTCTCCCACGAGCGGGGTCGGAAGGGCAGTCATCACCGGTTCATCACGGAGAAGCGAGTGTTTAAGAACTGGGCGCGGACATTCAATATTCATTTTTTTCAACCAGACTGGAAACCAGAATCCCCTGCTGTAAATCATCCAGAGAATAAACCTGTGTTCTGAGGAATGGGCATGTGAGATTGTAAGCCCAGACCGTAATCCCAGGTACCCGCGGTCTCAAACTTCTGGAGCCACCAGAGGGGAATTGGAAACAGCTGGTAGCGGAGAGCCGCATTGCTCCTCCAGGTCCATGGACAGCCTCCCGGCAACTTGCCCACTGCTCTTTGGGGCTGGTTTGAGACAACAAATTCCAGAGTTGAGGCGTTCTGATGAGTGTGGTCACTTTGAAAGGAGCCCCCTTAGTGACTGAAAGCTCATTTCAGAGATGCTGCTGAGACTAAAAACAGTTTGGATCTCTTTAAATATTGCCTTTGAAACAGATATGAGCAACCCAACATTGGTTGTATTCCTTTATAGAAATACCTTGTCAAAAAACATTTTTCTACCAAGCTGTGTTCTGTAACCTGATCTATAACCTTTGTCATTTGTTGAACTATTTGTGTGATTTGTAAACAGCAGCCTAAAAGGATGGACATGGTTTTCGAAGAGCACATCTCCACAGACTGACTTTCATAAGGCAAATGTCCGATATTTATTTATTGAGAGTTTTTTAGTGCACTCTAGGGCAGTATTTTTATAGAGTATGATTGTGGTAATTTATTCTTCCTAACTCGACTCTTCAATGATGGTTGGAAACGACCTAGAATTGGGTTGGCGAGTTGCTGTGTTCACAATGCTCATCATTAGCATGCACTTGGTATTTGACTTAAAAATGTTGTGTAACATTTTTGGAGCCCCTAGGCTTCAGGCAAATTGCTCTGTCATAGAGACAACAGCTATCACATTTTCTGATGTACAGACATGCTCCAAAAGGACAACATTGAAAACTAAAAACTGTGTTATTAAAACAAAAAGATGCTAACAAGCAACCTTAAAGATAGTTTTCTTTAGTAACAACTAGTGTAAATAACTTCTCTTGAGCCCTCGTTTCCTCTTCATTAGAATGATGTCACTGGCTGGGGGGAGAGCTCAGTAGAGTGCAAGGGCCTGAATTCAATCCCCAGTTTTGCAGAATGATGTCACTGTATGGGAAGATCTCTTAGGTTTTGTTCCAAATCTAAAACTCTATATGTTCCTCATACACTTGTTTGGAGACTTCTTATATTTGGAGTAACAGGATTCCAGCTTCACAGGGACTGTATTCTGAGAGCATTTCATATTCCAGTACTACTAATCTCGCTCTGTGGGGAAAGTACTTCCTCCTGGATGCATCTGCATTGACTAAAACTGCCCCCTACTTCTCTAAAAGCAAAACACCCACTTATGAAGCATGCCTGACTACACAAGGTACTGCACTTCTGTGAGGAAAAAAGAATAGAAGGATTCCCTATCGTATAACTCATTATCCCATGCATGATTCAGACTTGCTGCAAATCTTACGTTATATTCACTGCCACTCCTTGGTCTGAAAAAAATATGGAATACTCAGTTTATCCAAAGCAAGATCAATTAGTGTTATAGATTTTCATTTAAATAAATAATATTGTTAAAAAATAGTCTTTTAAGATTATTTTTAAGACCAGTGCTTTTTTTTCCCACATTGCTTTGGAGGCATTAGTTCTGTAATGCAAAGTCTGAAGGTGCCAGCAAATACTATGTATGGAGACCACCATGAGAATTTGTGATGTAAGCAATCCTTTTCCCTCTTCTTAGTACAAAGATTCCACTGCTCTTCACTAAGCAGTACCATTAACTATGTGTTGTCCTGCTGTTGAAATGCAGCCACAGCCCAAGGGTTCACATGGCAGAAACAAAGTCCAGATTGTGGTGTGGACTGAGCTGTTAAAAGACAGTGAAATGCTGAAGCAGCTCTCCAAAGCAGGCTGGAATTCATGTTTTTAATTTTCTCAGAACTATGCATTTTACTCCAACACAACCTCTTTTTGGAGTAAAGTATGGACCCTGAACAACCAATGTTTCTATGAACATAAAAAGTGTATGAGTTTTATGCATTTGATTTATAGGGCACATTTAGGAACAGTTGAAGAGATGATTTTGCTCAGATGTCAACTGTTTAATAAGTCATATTTTTATGGCAATCTGCACAGGCATAGTTACAAAGACATAACAATGTTACCTTTCTGTGGATCTTTAGGTTTCTCTTTTTAAAAATTATTAGGAGAACTCCATCTTTTTTTGTAACTTCTCCTTTTCAAATACTCAAAAGCGTAGAAACAACTCCATTTTGAAAACCTTGGCTTCACTAAGAAATGTGTTAAATCCACATGAAGCTAGACTTTGTGAGTTCATTTTTTTAAAAACAATATGGTATAAATAAGTATAAGAAATTACCACTTGGGTGGTGGTTTTATTGCGATGTTACACAAAATGCCTGGAATCCAGATGGATTGTGCTGATGGACCTGGTTGTGGGCAATTGAATTCCTGTCTTGCTACTGTCATTTCATGACTGTCAAACTTAACACCATGCAATACCATTAAACATAAACTCTGATATAAAAGATGACTACCAAACCATGTTTACAGACCTCAGTGATTTCAGTACTGTTGACGCCTAAGTCAGACTCGTTCCCCAGCACACCTTGTTCTTCCCTCCCCAGCTGTGTCATCAGCTTCCTCCCAGCTTGTAAGACCTCAGTCATCCAAAGCCACAGCTGGCCGACCCATGGCTTCTGTTATTTCCATGCAAGAGCATTTGGCAGGGGCCGTTACAATAGATAGCCATTATGGGCCAAGTTACAGGAATTCACAAACAAAATCAATCACTTCAAATGGCCCATAAAAAGAGGAATCTCACATTTAATATTCTACAGTAAATATTCACCCAAGAAAGCGTACATTAAAAGAACATTAGGAGGTAAATATTCAGCATGCTGCGTGGGGACTTACTGTGTGATTTCCATTACTGTTAATGGGTGTTTGGCAACCAAGTCCCTGTGCTTCACTAACCCTGGAATGCACTCCTGAGGGCTAGACGTTAAACTGCAACAATTCAGGAGCTCCAGGGTCCAACGCTTTTAGAGATCAAGGTTTCCTTGTAAAGACTTAACAGAAAGTACAAAGTACTATACCTAAGACAGAAGTCTGTGTGGCCACTTGGAGTCTTTAGGTTAATTCCTGATTCCAATTCCACCCCTCCTCAGATTATCTTTGATTTTCCAAAAGTTTTTCCATTACTGGTCTTTTTGAACTTCTTTCTTTTGGAGGGAAATTGTGTTATTTTAACATAAACACTCCCTGCAAAAACTCTTAATTATTTTTAGAAGCTAAATAAGCAGAAGTGGAAGGAGAAATTTGAACTTCTGTTAGGTTTAAAACAAATGTATATGTATCTATCTAGTACCTGCCCAACTATTTGCCCATGTGGAAGAGTGACCTTATTTCAAAAATGGCCCTGAGCTCCACCTGGGTGAAGGCTGAAGTTGTGGAATCAGCCTCGTCCCGAGAAGATCCAGGGTGCTCTTCGGTCTCTGCATTGCTCACACCCACGATCAGTTCCCTCATCTTCACAGTTTCCTCTTGAGCCGCATTCTACCTCTTTGACATCATTCTCTCCTGACTTTATTCTTCTGTCTCGATGTGATCTCAAGCCAGCTGTTTTGGGGGCTACCAGGGGCTTTCTTGTATGTTGGAGAGCCACCTGGGGACAGGTCTGGAGTGGTGACCTGAGTGGGTGGGAAGAGCCTGTCGTGGCCGCAGGACAAGGTCCTTCAGCAGTGCCCTCTTGGAGGAGCTGGGACAGAGGAAGAGAAGGGAGTTCCATGGTGTAGATTTTCCTTGCTCACCCTAGGGCAGTCCTGGGAAAACCAGGATATGGGCCACCCTATTTGGGACTTTGTCAAGGGGATTGAGATCCGAAGCAGGGGAGGGAGGGGCTAGGAGGAGTGAATTCACTGCCAGGGCTTTAGCCCAGATGAGGAGATGCTTGGGAATGGAAAGATGTGTGAGAGTTCTAGGATGAAAACCAAAAGATAACCCTATCTATTCCAGCTCACTCAGCCCCACCTACTCAGGGTATTGAAAAGCAAATGCAAAAAAAAAAAAAAAAAGGCTAAAATCCTGTTTGTTTTCACTCAGTGCCCTAATATTAATATTGTATGCTACCTTGCATTGTCCGTTGTCTTCTGTATGTCCTGTTAGACAAGATTGTAAGCTCCGTGAGGGCCAGGACTGTTCCTCCTTTGTCTCTGTAGCCCCACCCCTAGTACAGTGCCTTGCACACAATAGGCGCTCAATAAATGTCTGTTGTTGATCATGACCTCTTTGCTATTGACCCATTGGACTGGTACTTGGGTATTTAAAGAGTACAAGAGATTCAGTAGGTTGTGATATAGTTAAATTTGAAGAGGGTTTTAGTAGGGTCAGTTCCTAAACCTGTAATATTTTTAATCAGTGGAGCTGACCTAGATTGGGGTAGGATAATGTTGCTGAATTTATCAGCTTTGCTAGTGCTGGCTGTGTCCAACAGACAGGCGAAGTAAAGTTCAGCAAGCTTTGTGCTTTCACTCTCGCAACCGGCTCTTAGCCCAAATTAAATTTAATATTGACAAATGCTGCACCATATGCAGGAAGGCAGCAGAGCATCTGGGGCTGACTTCTGCCGCTGAACCACAAAAGGCAGGCTATGCTGAGACAAGGCACCCCCTGCCCTCAACCTGGCAGCTCCCTCCCGCTGCTGGGAATCTGCATGGTGGCTATGGAGGGGCTCTCAAGAATAAGTATGCATCTACCTTAAAAATAAACTGAGAAAGAACTGCTGTTTCCATGAAGCAGATCCCAAGAGATTTTATCCGAATCAGAAAATGGGGAGAAAGAATCCTTAGAAAACTGTCCTTGAGCAGTGTCCCAATCTCTTGCGTCACAGCCTGGCCACACCTGCACTTGCTCCCCTCCTGCAGAACAGAGCAGGAGTAGTCAGGAAACTGCCCCTGAATACCATGCAAGGACCAGGCCGTCACCCGTTTGAGCCAGTGGCAGCCCCGGTTCCTCTCCCTTTGCATGCTCCTCCCATATTTATTTGTTCATGTGCTCTCAGTCTCCTTTGTAGAAGGGTAGAATGGGAGCCAGGAGACACGGCGCTCCGCCAGGAAGCGCACTCATTTCTAAATGTGTACATTCACAGATTTTTCCACATTTTCAAACAGTCCATTATAATAAAAAATGATTTCATAGACTTTTAAGAAAACTACTGTAAATAAAATTGCAGCTGAATCTGTGGAAAATCTAGTTAGTGCACACCATTTCTACCTCACTCTGGAACTCAGGGCCTTCACGCAGAGCCACATTCCTATTTAACTTTATTCTATTT